TGTGACCATGTTGGCTACATTTTATTTTTCTTCAAGGAGCAATTCCAATGAGAAGTGATTATTTGCTTAGGACACTTGTAGCTACTGTAACACCAATTACAGGTCCCAAATTCGCTGGTTTTACTGCTGTCATCTAAGACACATTTTCAAGCCCACAGGTTTTTGAAGCCCCCAGTCCTGAGCACCAAAGACCCAATCCCCACATGACCTAAGTGTATAGAAAGAACATTGTTTCTCTCAAATCTTTGCAAAATTTACGGCAACATTTGGAAGTAATTTCAAAGCTATATATTTGTAAAGATTTGAAGCCAAGCAATTTGGTAGAAGCAGGGGATCTCAACAGAACCCAAGGTCTTACCTGCATCTTTGGCCACCTCAGACACATCTTCATTCCTCATCTCAGCCATGTACCCCAGCACTGTGAAGATGACGAATCCCGAAACAAAGCTCGTCATGCAGTTCACCACACTGGTCACCAGGGCATCTCTGGAGTGGAAAACCCAAGCTGTCTGAGACAGTTTGGAGGTCAAGCGTCTAACGAGCATCTGTCTCTGTGCCTTCCCTGCTAGAGACAGCTGTGGCAAGGGTGAGCAGTCTGAGCTGTCCAGGTGTCCCTTCCCCTTCTCCCAGAGCCCGGCCTCCCAAGTGTGAAGCACAAACTGCTGTGATTACCATACACGGTGTGGGGAGAATAGGAGGTCAGGGATTTTTTTTTTTTCCTGAGATAGGGTCTCACTCTGTCACCCAGGCTGGAGTGCAATGACATCATCAGAGCTCACTGCAGCCTTAACTCCTGGGCTCAAGTGATCCTCCCACCTCAGACTCACAAGTAGCTGGGATGACAGTTATGTGCCACCATGCCTGGCTAATTTTTCTATTTCTGGTAGAGATGGAGTCTCCCTATGTTGCTTAGTATGGTCTTGAAATCATGGCCTCAAGGGATCTTCCTGCCTTAGCCTCCCAAAGTGCTGGGATTACAGGTGTGAGCCATCGTGCTCAGCCTACAGGGTGTTTGAAAAAGTAATTCTATTGTGAAACGACATAGCACAGACCTCTCCATTTCAAGCAAGCTGTGTTCTGGAGCAGGGCCCAGGTTGGAGTGGGGGGCCAGGACAAGAGCTTGGGCTGAATGTGTGTGAAGTTCTCATAGTTAGACTTTGACATTATCTTCAAATAAAGCCAAAGACTGCCATAGACATACCCTGACATTTTTAAAAGAAAACCTTATCATACAACTTCAAGCTGGTATCTCACTGCAAGTCCACATTGCCTGGACTACAAGAGAATCACCTCTCCTTTAAAAAAATAAATTCTAGGTACTGGGTGAGGTGGCTCACAACTATAATCCTAGCACTCTCGGAAGCCAAGGCAGGCAGATCCCTTGAGCTCCAGAGTTTGAGACCAGACTAAGCAAGAGCAAGACCCCCATCTTTAAAAAACAGAAAAAATTAGCTGAGTGTTATAGCAGGCACCTGTAATCCTATCCACTTAGGAAACTGAGGCAGGAGGATGGTTTTACCCCATGATTTTGAGGTTGCTGTGAGCAAGGCCAATACCATGCACTCTAGCCTGGGTGATAGAGTGAGATTCTGTCTCAAAAAAAGAAATTCTATAATTCTGCTACAAAGAGCATAAATAGGTTGCTAGACACTGCCATCTAAAACAGTCTAAAGATGAGTGATATTTAAATCATAACTGGTGCAACACCTCCAGTTTTATTTATTTGTATTTTTTGTTTTGTTTTGTTTAGTTTTTTGAGGCAGAGTCTCACTCAGTGGCCTTCTGGTTGAGTGCCATGGCATCATAGCTCACAGCAACTTCAAACTCTTAGGTTCAAGTTATTCTCTTGCCTCAACCTCCCAAGTAGCTGGGATTGCAGGCGCCCACCACAATACCTGGTGATTTTTACAGACAGGCTGGTCTTGAACTTGTGAGCTCAGGCAATCCATCCACTTTGGCCTCTCAGAGTGCTGGGATTACAGGCATGAGCCAGGGGCTCAGCTGTTTGTTTTTGAGACAGAGTCTCATTCTTTTGCCCTCGGTAGAATGCTGTGGCATCATAGCTCACAGCAACTTTGAACTCCTGGGCTTAAGCAATCCTCTTGCCTCAGCCTCCTGAGTAGGCAGGACTACAGGTGCCCACCATAACACCTGGCTAGTTTTTCTATTTTTAGTAGAGATGGGGGTCTTACTCTTGCTCAGGCTGGACTTGAACTCCTGAGCTCAAGCACGCTACACGCCTCAGCCTCTCAAAGTACTAGGATTACAGGCAGGAGCCATCACACCCATTTTCCAGTTTTGTTAAAATTTCTTAAGTAAGTTTTTACAAGGAAAAAAAGATGGCATTTTGTGTAGGCCAAAATAATTCAATCATATATATGTATATGTGTATGTTTACTTTTTTGAGTATACATACATAAAACTGATAATCACACTGTTTTTGTTGTTAAACACATTAACTAATTAAACCTGTTTAATCATATGTTGCAATTTTTATAACCCTGACTTGGAATTTTTCTTTTCCAGACAGGGTCTCACTCTGTCACCAGGGCTAGAGCGCAGTGGCATCATCATAGTTCACTGCAATTTCAAACTCCTAGGCTCAGGTGATCCTCCTGCTGAAACCTCCTGCGTAGCTGAGACTATAGGTATGTGCCCAGTGCACGTGGCTAATTTTTTTCTATTATTATCCTATTATAGAGATGGGGTCTCATTCTTGCTCAAGCTGGTCTCCAACTCCTGACCTCAAATAATCCTCCCACTTTGACCTCCC